GACACCAAAGTATTTAGACTGTTTAAAACCAAAAGGGATTGTGAGGAGCTCCAAACTGGGAGGATGGATAGCAAAAGGGCAAATGCAGTTCAATGTAAAGTAATGCAAGTGTAAAGTAATGCAAGTTGGAATCAAAAAAATCCCAACTCTAACAATAACCTGATGACATCAGAGCTGGCAATGAAAGACTTAGAAAGGAATCGTGGGGTTGTGCTGGACAGTTCAATGAAAATGACAGCCCAGTGTGTGGTCATTGTTTTAAAAAAAGGCAAACTTAATCTTAGATGTAATTAAGACATTGAAGATAACACTGCTAACATACTGCACTTATACAAATCTACAGTGTGACTACATATAGAATACAGAGTTATGGTTACCACGTGTACAAAAGGATACTGTAGAGATGGAAAAAGTGCAGAAAAGGGCAATTAAAATGCATAAAAAGCAAGGCAGGTCAGCTGAACTTACAAGAGGAAACAAGGGTTGCCATTTGTTTGCGTGGTTGTTTTCTGAACTGCTAACATTCTGTTATGACTATTGGATACTGGCCTTTGTCTATCCAAGCTTTTTTTCCCCTTTTTTTCCCTATCACAACAAAAGTCTTCTACAAAAAGCAGGATGCATCTTTCTTTGTAAAGACAGATGCATGAAGAACCTGCCTTCTGACTTTAGACATGCCAGTAGTGAAGGGCAATTAGTACCGGCAAGAACAACAAACCAGCAATGATACTGCACCCATGAATACTTCTAAGAGAAAGGGCTTGTAATCATGTGAACACCAGACTGGTCATTAATTCCTCCATTTAACTACATCTGTAGGAACGCTAACAGATTCTTCACATGGAAAAAGCTCATGCTCAATGGGTCCCTTGGTCTTTCTGGAACCAAGTGAGCAAGGTGAATGAAGGCCAAAATTAATTCTATTTATGTGGTGCTATATATGCCCCTGTATATCTTTAAAAAAACAAGTCTCAGTTAACATACGGGATATAGAATGAAGTGATTGATTAAAATGGCATAACACAGCTCTTTTTGGAATAGCATATATCAAACTGATGAGGGAAAATATGCACATTTGTAAACAGAAAGATGACTTTTCCTTGGGCAATTTGCTTTAACTTTATTAAAGCTTGTCATTAAAAAAAGCACATAGAAATGAAGAATTAAAGTATGCGGATTGTCTGTCGAACATCCCACTCACTAAGAATGCAATCTTCCAAGGTATGCCTACGAAGCCATGAAAAGAATCTGCCTCCCAATTCTCTGGAGAACCACAGGCTTACTTAGTATTTTGCTTTGCACATTTGCATTTCACATTCCGGTTTATCTATTTCTATTCCAGAGATTTTGGAAGAAAATGATGCATAAGCAAGACATTTAACCAATAATGTTTAAGCTAAAACAGATGCACAACATCTAATACAGTTGTTCATAATTTTTCCATTACCATACACTAATTAGAGACCCTTGTTTTGGGAATCAATACTAATTCTTTGGCCCAATACTAATTCTTTTAAACTCTTACTGATTTCAATAGGAGCAGCCTAAGACTCTGGATCATGCCCCTTTGAAATCAATGGGATATAGAAGTGCTTAATTTTGGTGGGTCGTGCCTGTGATTCTAAAAATGTTCCTATCAATGTTTAAATTTATTATACTCCTCCTGATATAACTGAATCAAGAAATGTATTAGTTATTATGTATCATCAATTTGCCTCTGACTTATGGTGACCCTATAAATGAATGCCCTCCAAAATGGCCTGTTCTTGACAACCCTGCTCAGCTCTTGTAAATTCAAGGCTGTGGCTTCCTTTATGGAACTAAGCCATAAAGTTGGTATTCCTCTTCTTCTAACTTTGACTTTCTCTAGAATGATTGTCTTCTGTACCAAATCTTGTCTTCTCACAATGTTGCAGTTGCTGTTTCTCCATATTCTGTCCCAACAGTCTTCTCCATGATACAGATTACGCATCAGGGCAATCAAGTGCCTAGGCACACCCTTTTCTCTGAGACCATGCATATCTTCTTATGATGCACAGAGTCAAACATTTTGCTCTAGTCTATAAAGAACAGACGGATTCTTTTCTGCAATTATTTGATGTGCTCCATTAGCCAACACATATTTGAAATATGATCTTGAATCCCTCTTCCTTTTGAATGTCAACCAATTTCTTTCTCCATATAGCATGATATTCTTTGTTCCAACACTTGAACATCACTTTGATTGCATGGGAAATTAGGGAAATGGTCCTATGATTGCTGCACTCTTTTGCATCTCCTTTCCTGGAGACTGGAATGTATACTGAATGCTTCCAGTTTGCGGGCCATTATTTTGTTGTCCATATTTGTTGGAATATTATGTGGACCAATTCAGTCTCTGCAGCTTGGAACACTTCTATTGGTATCTTATCTGCTCCAGGTGTTTTATTCCTTCCAAGTGCTTTCAGAGAAGCTTTCACTTGCAGGCTCTTCCTCATAGAATTTCTTTTTGAAGAAGTCTGTCACCATGCCACTTCTTTTGTTTAATTCTTTTGTCTATTCTTTCCACCTTCTCTTTATTTTCTCCTTGTCAGATAGTATTCTCCCACTTCTTCTTGAAGCATTATTAATCTAGGTTTGATTTTCTTGGATCTTCTGGAAAAGATTCATTATTTTATCTCTTTTGTTACTTGCTTCTATTTCTTTTCATTGGCGATCATAATAGCTCTTTCTGTGCATATATCATAGTCACTAAAAAGATGCATTCATAATTTTGACCTTATTTCTGCTGCCTTTTACTTTTCATCTATCTTTAGCAAACATGAGCATTTCTTCCATCATCCATCAAGGTGTTTTCTTTTTGCTACAGGAATTGTCATTTGGCACTTTTCCATAATAACGTCAGTGGCTTCTTAAGGCTCGTGGTCAGTTGAGTTCAATAATGAAAATCTGTGATTTATGTGAACTTTAAATTCCTCAGGAATGTTATTCGAGTTGCATTTTGGCACTATGCTTCTGTTAGTGATCTTTTTCAGATTTACCCTGATTTTTTATATTCAGGAGTTCATGGTCAGTACCACAATCTGCTTGTGTTATTGTTTTGTCAGTGACAATACAGATTTTCCATTTCTCACTTTCAATTACATGGCATATTTAATGTTTTGATTGGCCATCTGGTGATGTCCATGTATACAGGAATCTGATCTATTGCTCGAAGCACGTATTTCTGATAAACAGATTGTTGACTTCACAGAATTATATGAGTGGTTTTCTTCCTCCATTTCTGACCCCTAGGCCAAGTTCTCCCACAACGTTTAAGCAAATTAAATCTAATGGCATGCAACTCACTTTGTCCTTTTTGACTAATTAACTCTGAAAAAATATGCTGAACTATATGCATTCTGTTGCTCAGGGGAGCCAGGAAAATGAACACATAGCCTGTCAATGGTCCATTTGGTATCCAAAGACTGACAGGAAAATAAAAACACACCCTATGTTTCATATGGGACAGATTTTAGAGATGTTAAAACAGCATCTTTATCCTGGACATCTGCTTTTATTACCCAGACCCTTTTCTAATAAGTTTCAAAAGCTGCTTTCTAATTTCATGCACAAGTAACATCATTAATTTAATGGCACTTCTGCTATGACCAAGTATATGCTAAATATAAATAACCATGAAAAAAAGTAAGAACTGCTGCACATTTGTTCCCCCTCCCCCTATTTGTTACAAGTACTAATACTGTAGAGGACAATAAAGCCTGTCAAAACAATTTTATACATTCAAGTAATAAAATTGAGACAGCATTTCTACATTTTCTTATCTATTTCTCAGCCATCTTTCAAGACCTAAGGCAGAGGTCACCACAAGAAGGTCCCTTTTGTAGCGGTTATCAACATGATAACTGATCTTAATCAGAATCTTCAAAGATGCTTACAATATTGGTAAATTCATGTCAGAATCTGAAGCCATGACACAGCTACCCTGGTGACAAGCAGCAAGTATCTGCAGAAGTAGGAGCATGTTTGTAGGTGCTTGCCAGGACTGTAGCCTGTGCAATCATGCAGCACAGCTGGAAGCCTGGGGAGGCTCTATACAGGCTGCCTTCTGCTGCTCAGCTTTGTCACAGCAACATGACTTTTGTAGTAGGTGCTTGTGTGCCTGATCCTGTCTCCAGTCTTGCTTTGACACCTTACTTTCCTCTTGCCCCTGATTTGACTCTGCTTTGCCAAGTACCTGATCCTTGCCTGCTTCTGACATTGCTTTTGCCTCTGGTTCTGCTATGCCTTGTTGGTATCTGGCTCTTGTCTGTTCCTGACTCCGCCTTCACTCCTGGACCTGCCAGGCCTTGCTGGATATCTGACCCTTGCTTGTACTTGACCTTGCCTTTGCCTTTTGCATTCTGCTAAGAACTCAAACTAACTCCATCCCTGGTCCTGATGATCTAACTGTAGACTCTTGCTTCCTGTGCCTCAGACCTGATAGGCCATATAGGTTTAAGTAGTCCTTCAAACAACGAGGAGCTAGACCAGTTAGGGTTTTAAAGATCAAAACCAGCACCCTGATTTGGGGCCAGAAATGCACTGGCAACCAGTGCAGCTGGCACAGAGATATTGTTTTATGATCTGCCTATCTAGCCCCAACTAGGACCCAAATGTCCTCATTCTCTATCAGATTTCCAAGTCATCAAACAGAGCTCATTCATATAGTCCAGTCTGGATGTAACAAGTACATGCATAATGGAGGCTGGACTTGCTTTCTCTAGATAAGATTGCAGCTAATATACCAACTGAAGGACAAAAAGTGTTGCCACTACTGTGCTTCCATGGACTTGGTATTTCGGTGAAAAAGCAAATCCATCCAATATCAGTTGAATCTCTTTATCTAGAATCAGCTGATTCCTTCAGTCAAAATAGTTGTTTTGTTTCAATAAACACAAGGAAGGCATTTGAGACAAATGGAGCTTTCAAAGTTTCACTTTTCTATAATAAAGTTATAACCAAACAGAAAGCTAACTTACTTGATGTAGTATGGAACTTTGTTATGTGAAACAGATCTTTGCCATGGTGGCTGAACAGAGGCTGTGAAAATACAAATACAGTAGGTAGTTATGAAGTGGACAAATAATCCATTAAGTTTTACTTTACATTTATACAAAGATATTGGATATGGAGAAGGTGGGAAGCACTTGAGGGCCTGAGAGTGAAGATCCATCAACTCCCTGGATAGTGCTCAAGACATACTATCAGCACTTCCCATCTACAACAGCTTTTCCAGTGCTCACCACTGACAACTGGCACTGGTGCTGCTGCTGAAGTGGAGGAGCATTCTAAGGAGTTAAAAGTGTTCCAAACTACCCAGACTTGTAGCTAAGAGTAATTATTTAGCTAGTGGCTGCCTGTCTTTTGGATGAATTTTTGGCATCATTGGTTATGGCATAGCATTTGGTGGCTTAATTTCCTTTTTAAGAAAGATGATGTATTTACAATGTCACTTGTATTTCATTAGTCTTTTTTCCTCCTTACTATTTTGTTTCCTTACATTATGAATCACTTGAGGGCATAACTACATCTAGACAAATGGCTGAAAATCACTCTAAGCTTATGGGATGGTAGGGTATCATTAAATAAGAATTAGATATCCAGTCTACAGACTCAATTACCAATGCCATCTTCCAATTCTAGTCTTTTTATGTAAACTGCAAACCCTTTAGGAAATGCGTGACTGAGGTGTTTCATTTAATTTGTGTGTTTTTTGGTTAGCTGCTATTTATTGCTGTTTTATTGTGGTTGTTTTAACGATTGTAAGCTGTCCTGAGATGCCATGCATAAGGGACAGCATACAAACGTTTTAAATAAATAAATAAATAAATAAAATGAACTCAGTTTGCATTAATGCACTAATCCTTCCTCCCCCATTGTGTTAAGAAGGGTTAGGGTTAGGGTTAAGAAGGGAACTCTGGTTCATTAATATTTCAATTTCCCTGATTTCTCTTTAATAACTTAAATGTTATCGCTTCCACCTCAGCTTCAAAATGAGAAATATTACTGTTTGTTTTAATTAAAATTTCTCAAGAACATTATTTATTTCACAGAAAGCCTTGTCTACTGGCAATATATAAATGAATGAAATAAACAAATAAAAATAAAAATACAAACAATACAATCAAGAAATCCAAATACAGCAAGATAACATGTATTATAATAAACTACCAAGAAATACAACAAAACAACTGAAGACATGCCTTTCTCTCAAACAGTCAACTCTTAATTATATAGTAAAAACACGGTACATTTGTATACTGGGCTTTCCTGGAAAGGATAATAATGTGGAAGGGTTGTTTTACAAAATAGGACCATTTCAGAACAAAAGGAAATGCAAGATGGAATAATATGTATACAGATGGAAGGACTAAGATGGTAAAGAAACTTCAATACATATTTAATTGTAATTCTGAATGGTCATTCCATAGTGCCTTCACCCAGCTGGATGTTCCATGAATGACAACTTGCTCTGTATTTTTCTCAGTACAGGTTACTAGAAATTCAGGTATTGGCTGCAGTCCTAGAAATCCTTGGCACTTGAACTGCACAGAAGCACAGCATGGGATTCCAGTCACTGTGGATGCATTTTCTTGGCTTAGAAATGGAAAAAAGTCACTTAGAGCAGAATCAAAAGGGGATGCCAATAAACCTCCAAAGTTTGGATGATTATGGAGATCCTAGGCAGGGCATGAGAAGCATAGAGATGAAGATCACTGTGCTTCTCCCATCCAGCAAAGCTACTAGATAGCCATTTTTGGTTGTCTAACTGGAGGAGGATGTGCTGCCAGAATGTCTCATGGTAGCACCAATTTTCCTCCCCACCATGCCCCCTAAACTTTTGTGAACTCAGAAGCAGGTGGCATGGAGGCTGTGAAAGCAGGGCATTTCAAGCATGAAGTCTCTGGTCTAACATCAGTGCTGAGCCTCCAACAAACCCCGTGGCTTTCTAGACACTGTCCACAGAATTTTTAAACAAGTATTTAATTATTGTAGGTGAACTATCACCAAACTAAATCCCTATTTGCAAATTTTATCCTGGTCAAACACAGCTGTCTGAACCTGGTGTAAGAAACAGTGCTGGGGCCTTGGAATCTTTGAACCTGCCAAGTACCTAGTTAATCTACTCTTAGGACCAAACAACATTATTTCTTAAAAGTACTTTAAAGTAAATGGATCACTGTCCTAGCACATGGTCTGAAGGCATGTGTGGCAGCCACCATGTTGAAGCTAAGCAGATCTGGTCAGTGTTTGAAGAGGGGACTACCTGGGAATGGCTACTTAGAGCTCCATGATAAAAGAAATGTGGTACATATAGGTAATGGGTAATGGGTCTTTTACATATATTACAGGCACAGGTCCCTCTTACTCCCATTTATATCAGAGGACATGTGTTTACTCTAGAGGGAAAAAAAGATGTGTAGTTCAGAATCAAAATCTGCATTAAGTTCCTTTTCCATCCCCCAGATCAGGCTACACAATCAAGCAGTATGTTTTACAAGGACTTACTGGAAAGAAAATTTTGAGAAGCAGGCCCACAATCCCATTGTGCTTCTTGTAGTAGTTTAAGGCGATCCTCTGCAGATACCTGTATGTCCAAACATTGACAAGCAAAAACATTAGTAAGGTTTCAGCTGATCATACAAAGCTGCCATTCTCACAATAGTATGCAATCAATTTTAACAAATAGATATCAGATATACTGCCGATTACTCTGTCCATTTACATCTGCTTTCTTGTTTTAAATGTTTAAATACAAGCTAGTAATGATCTTTCTGTAAGCAATGCAAATCAATAACAAATAAGGTTTCCACAGTGACTAATACTGTTCATTGAAATTTCTGCTTCTCTCTCCTTTTCCCTTGTTTAAATGTCTCTAGTCAGCATGCCTCAATTTGATTCTATTGATCTTACAGCTGCCTTTACAAGGAAGTACTTTGGAGCATGCTGTTTTTACTGGTTGACAGGATGGGCAGGCATCCTCCTGGTTTGCTAATTAAACTGCACTTGCACATACAGCAGGAGCCTGACTGCTTAGTCAAATCTCCGTAAGGCATAAAAAACATTCCAAATGCAAAATTACATTGCCAAGAATACAGAGAAGCCCCGGAAATGCTAATAATTTCACCTCACAGGACTTTGTTTCTCAGCAGAGTATATCTAAACTCTGCAGGGAGCAGATGTCAATGATAAAGGAGCATTCCCCACCACCACCCTTAGATATTTTACACTTCTCAATTTTTTCCTTTGGATGTTGAGAAGAGATCTTGATTCAGAAAAGGAAACAGAGCTAAGCAGAAACTATACAAAACTTTTCGCAGGGGTTTGAAGGAGATGTTGCAGGAGATATTAAAATAGAGCTTAATATCTTTTAACATGATTGTTTCACTGAGTATTCTTCCAGGCCAATTCCAGATTATTTCTGCACTAGCAATTAATGGAAACTTTTAGTGCCTGAAGTATTTTGGTGTTGGCAAGAATGAATCCATTTGAACTCTGAAATTCATGTTGGAATCAGTAGTTGGTGGATAGTACTCTAGACCAACCTAGAACCAGTCATGCTACCTTCCAGGATGGTCATGAAGAAATCACACTACAGCTTCTCATCTGTGCCAGGCAGTTCTGTGCTGCCTTGAACTTGGGCCTTGCCCAACTTGGAGCCTTCAAGATATTTGCAACTTCAGTCCATTAACATGGATTGAAGTCAACATGACCGATAGTCAAGAATGCCGGGAGCTGTAGACCAACACATCTTGAGCACATCGGGCTGGGAAAGACCACACTAGATTTTCCTTTATATGGTTCAAGTGTCCAGTGTGGAATGGGGTGGTGACATTGCAGGGCACACTTTGGCTAATGTGAGATGGCCTTGGTATAGCCTGGGGATAACCACTTCATGCTGCTCCCAGGTCAGGCTCAGAACCTACCAGAAAGCAGGAGAGACCTTAGCTCACTCTAGGGAGGTTTGTGCCCCAATCAGAAACTGAAGTTTAGTTTTCCTTCTGACTATTTTATTTATTTATAGTATTTGTACAGTGCTCTATATTTAGGTATCTTCTAGAATGGTGATCACTCAAAGGCTAAAATAGATGAAAGAATAAAAGAAATATATTGAAAAACCAGATAACATTAAAACTGTGGCTGGCCTACAAAAAGGGAAAAAAGGCTTTGCAGAACAAGGATATCTTCAGCAAGTGCCAAAGACAGCATAATGTTGGTTCCAGTCTGATCTCCAGGGGCAGGGAATTCCATAGCAATGGCACACGACACACAAGACTCCTCTCCTCATAGACTCCGGTCAGGCCATTGGTCTGTGTGAGAGCACTAGGAAAATATCCTGCAATTACCTCAGCAACCTGGTAGGCTGGTAAAGGAGAATGTGCTTTCACAGGAACTGGAGTACAAGAGCCCTAGCTTTATACAAACATTTTTTTTTCATACCACACCATTTATCACTGTCTTCACCAAACAGGTGTTCTCCAGATGGCCATTGCTGGCTAAGAATTATGGAGTTGCAGTCAAACATACCAGGAGGGTATGAAGCTGGGGAAGGCTGCATTTAAGACAGCCACCCAGGTAGCTGGTAGCTGCAGTAAGGTAACTGGAAACAGCTATAATATGCTGAAATTCTAAGTAGGATACAAGCAGAACAGTTTTGTACACCAGCCAGATATCTTCTGATGAAGGGTGGTTTAAAATCTTATCATAAATACATAAATCAATACCTATGTGTCAACTTTCCAAAGAGGTTAATAATCATGATTTATGGAGACAATCTGGGGTTTACAAACTGACACAAATAATGCAATTATATAAATCTAAAATATGTCTACGTATCTTTGGAGATTAATTTTGTTCCCTGTGTGAACTGAACTGCAGTAAACAGCAGAAAAGAGATGTTATAAATCAGGTGAGAAAAGAAAGTGTTTACTCTGTTACATGTGTTATTTTTGTAACAGCTGGTCATGATAAGAAGACCAACAACCTCTAGCTGTATTCAAGCCATTACAGCATTTCAGCTGGTTGGTATAAGCTTTTTATAACAATGAGAATTTCTGATTAGGGTTTTTTTTCTTTTTCCCTCCCCACCCCTTTTCCTTTGGTATGTTATATTTTTAGGCGCAGAGCTGGATACAAATACTATAAATTACCATAGATAATAAAGCAGTTAAAAGTAATTTGCTTTGCAATACAAAAGAAGACTTGAATGGAGAACTCCCTAACTCCTAATCAACTGAAAAAGAGCACAGGATACCTGTAAAAGTTTCCAGCGCATATTGAGATCATCTAGCTGTCGTGAGATCTTTAATGATGGATGGAGGTCAAGTGGAGAGAGTTGACTGGATAAATCATTGACAGCTCTGACTTTCAAGTTGATTGGTGCAATTTCATCTCTAAATGCCTAGAAGAGTAAATAAAAGCCTACTCTCAACAACAGTCTCAGTGTATCCAAAGCATATGCCAAGTGCCCTCATTCATTCTCGCTCTGGGTATATTGCTTCCCACTGACTTCGCTTTCATGGGGAGGGAGGAGCAAACAATAAACACACCATAAAGCATGATTTTGCTACTAATGCTCAATATTGTTGCGGGTGGGGGGATGTCAGAAATTCCTGAGGTTTACCACACCAATAAGAGCAACTGTGACCTCCCCACACTGTGGGAGGGGGCAGGGGGGATAGGATTATTTGATGTCCTAGCTGCAAAGTCCTGAGACCTCAGAGCTTGGACCCTGAACAGAGGGATCCTGTCCTGCCATGCCTGCCTTGCAGCCAGCACAGAAAAAACACACACCAGCTGCCTGTCTGGGTTCAAAAGTAAGTCTTGGAGAAGGCTACAAAGCATGCTGGAGATCAAATCAGTCAATCCTAAAGGAAATCAACCCTGACTGCTCACTGGAAGGACAGATCTGAAGTTAAAGCTCAAATATTTTGGCCACCTAATGAGAAGAGAGAACACATTGGAGAAGACCTTGATGCTGGGAAGGATTGAAGGCAAAAGGAGAAGGGAATGGCAGAGGATGAGATGGTTGGATAGTGTCATCAAAGCAAGGAACATGAATTTGAGCAGGCTCCATGAGGCACTGGAGGCAGAGGGACTTGGCGTGCTTTGGTCCATGGAGCCATAAAGAGTTAGACATGACTTAATGACTGAACAACAACAAAAAAGAGCATGCTGGGAAAGAGGTAGAGATAGGATGGGGATAGGGCCAATGGCCTGTTCCATATGGAAACAACAGCACAGCTCCGTTCCCCATCTTTCTGAAGTGTTCCATCTAGACAGCCGAAAATTGGCCATCTAAATGAAATGTAGGGCACAAAGTGCTGAGATCACCACCACTGTGCCCTGTGTCCTGCACGGATATCTCCACGCTTAGAAGCTTATGTGCACTGAGGATGGATTGCACCCTAAGTGAGTAATGGAAATAAGGAAGAAAATGAGATACAGGCACTTAACAAACCTTGAGATTAATCCAGAAGTGTCAGAACTCAGAGTATTTCAATTTATTCAGGGCAGACCCTCCCTTAGTGAACTGCACATTGCCTCAATAAATCAGAAAAATTAGGAAAAAGTTTGCTCATCAGCACTTGGTACTTCCAGATAATCAGCAGAGTAGTTCAGCAACTCACTACTGATTCCCCCAAGAATTACCAGTCAGTCAATCTTAGAATTCTTTTGGTTTTGAGACTACTAACGCTATAATATACTCTTCAACAGATGCTCTTATTTTTCACACATTGAAAACATAATACACATCCCTTTACCTTTCTTCACACAAATGTCATTAAGACATGATAAATTACTCCTTAAAAGCAGGAAAAGGTATTCCCAACAGTTTACAAAAACATTATTTTGTATTTATATTAAAATGAGAAGGGGGAAAGGGTGGATATATCACAGTTAAATCAACAGCAGTGAAGATATAAATCAAGTTTGATCACATTCTACAGGGATATAAATCAAGTTCCACTGAATTTACCTTTATCTTTATTTAAAAGCAGGAATGAAAAGTGGGGAGGGTGTTTACATGTAACACTACATCACCCGAAAACAAACTAATTTATTATTTTTCAGATGATCCATGAATGGACAGATAATAAGCCTCTAAGTCTAGTGCAAAAATACCCACTGACTTCAATACCATTATTTCCTTAGCTTCTCTGCCTTAGGTGTTTCATGGTCTAGGATTTCTAGACTCGCTGCAACATGATATATGAAAGCCTCTGTCTGTATGGTGGAACATATTGGGAGTTCAAAGACATTAACAGGACCAGATTTATTTTGCTTCATGGCAAGGTAACCACAAGGATTTTCTGGTTTCAAATTTTTTTAACTCCATTTATATTCTTTGTTTCATTTCAAAAGGAAATGAGAGGCCCAAAATACAATTAAAAACTACGGCAACCCAATTAAAATAACCAAAGGACAAATGATGTTGCAGAAATCCTTATATCCCACAAAGACTTACTTCAACAACTTTTTTACCACCTTTAAAAAAATTCACAAAGTAAAGCTTAGTATAGCATTTCTGGAAGCTTTGAAGTAATGGAGGGGAGGATGTTTTTTCCAGATATGTGTGTTGGGGGGGGAACAGTCATTTGGGGGGAAATATGCAATTTTTTAGTGTTCCTTACAGACCTAAAGTCACTTTGTGATTTTAAGAATACAAAATGAAACATGAATATCTTGGCTTGCTCATAAACTTAGCAATAATATTAAAAACATTGAAATACAAATTCAGTTATTAAATTTATAATTCATACTCAATTTTTAAATTAATATACAAAATGAAATAATTTTATGAACAAACCAACTGTCTGTAATGCAGAGATAGACAGAGCCTATAGTCCCTGGACATTGCTTGAAAAGCCACAGAGTAATTCAGGCACAGTTCTGTTCTTGGAGAAACAAACTGGGGTTCCAATCCCACTCTCAGTCCACTGTGCCTGGTGGGAAATAACCATGTTGGCAGCTCTCATTAAGAAATGTTAAGAAAGCATCCCCAGAGAGGGGTTACAGAGACTTTTTTAGGATCAGGGAAGGGAGGAGAATGTAATGGCAAGATATAAGATATCCTGAAAGCACTCCAGTCCTGTCTCTCTCTGAAACACTGTTGGCTAGACAGCCACAAATGGCCATCTAGCAAAAACAATCAGCATGAGCCTCTGAATTTGGGACGGATGCTCATCTCTACAGGACTGAGCCCTCTAAGTCTGGGTTTTATGTCTGACCAGAGGGACCTTCAGCACTTTGGCCCTGGAATGTTTGAATCATTCCAGAAGTCAGAAGAAGCAAGAGTGGAAGGCAGAAGAATACTGGTGTTACCCCATCTGTTCTTGCTTGTGAGGAATTATTTAGGGTTGAGTTTAGGAAAATCCCTCAAGGGAAAGTTATTGAGAGCTTATTTAGTATGAGAAGACTCTCTTACCTGTTTGAAATGGTAAGCAACAAGGGATACTTAAGAACCTTTAAGAAATCTCAAACTATTATATGAAGAGTAACATGTAATAATCATTAGGAAATGTTTAGTAATAACAACAATTTTCCCTTAATGAATATGTTGAGTTTTGTTAATTTTGAAAGGTTATCTCTGCTGGTGCTGTTTGTCTAATGCCAGAGGACCCAGGCATTTTGTGGGGAGGTGCTTTGCGAGAGTTTAACATATGGAGAATGTATTTGTGGATCAAAAGCCAAAGATTTTATAGCCAAGGCAACATTCCCTAACTGTGAGGTCCAATTTGAAATTTGATTTAAAACTGCAGCAGTGAAATCCGCAGACCCATGCGTCAAAGATGCTTTAATATCTTTGAAGAATACCTCATGTGTTGTGCTGTTGCATATAATGGCAGTAGCGGGATAACTTAGGGGGATAACTCATATGTGAGTTTTAGACCTATATTCACATAGTACAAATCTACCGAGAACAAGCTCAGAAATACAAAACTCTATGGAACAAAACACGAAGTGTTATGTCCTTTGCTACCATACTGGCATTATAATAAATTAAAATGTTTTATAAAATGATATAAAATATGTACACATTCCCAATAAGATTGGTATATTTGAACATATTTTACTGAGTAGGAGAATAGCAGGGCACTGGCACAGATTATGAACATCTATGTATAATTTTGTTAAGGCTTTGTATTGCTAGGACTCAGGTTACACACAGGCATTGTTTCAAAATGCATGATGTTCAAAATGAGATGTGTGCTTACTGTCGTTTTGTCAATGTGATCCTGCAATGAATCCATCGGTATATCTCCAACAGGTTTCCAATTGCTTCGCACATTCTCTACCTCCCTCAGATCAGCATCTAGATCATCCATAGAACACTGTAAGTCCTTCAGTTTCTCTAGTGCTTTGTCCACTTGCTTCTGCCAACTGTTGGCACAGGTATTGAGGCTTTCCCACTTCTCTCTCACTTCAGCAGACTGCTTACGCATCGCTCTGGCAATCTTCTGTGCTTTTTCTTCAGGGGTCAACTCTGTAATCGAAAACAAGCCAATGTCAGTAGCATTGCATTTTTGAAAGAATAAGGATTCCTGAAGAATTGAAAAATGTATTGCTTCTCACAAGCTCTTCTTAACAATACACCTGTTGCCGGTGATTACTAAACTGTGGCCTGCAACTACATCCACTCCATCCTGAAGCACTCAGATTGCTTTGAGCTGGCTTGCAAGTCACAAATAAAAAAGTTGAAAGCTTTTCCAGAAAGAAAACAGTGCTCAAATAGAGACCAGATACCAAATCAAAACGCTACTATCTCAATACTCCAACACAGCTGATCTGAACACACAGTAGGAAGGAAAAGGGATTTTTGACATTTGGGTTCTATCATGTTTGCCCCCCAAAACGAGACCAAATTTTTGTGTCTTGGCTTAGAACAAACTTTCTGGTTCACTCCTCTTTTGAAAAGCTATGCCAGGGCAAACCAGTGCCTGGGCCCACATCCATCTGGGATACTTAGCCCAAGGGATCCTTGCAATCTATTCACTTAGAATATGAACATACCTTGAATATAAGCATACCTTCCACTCTGATAACCAAATATATTTAATGAGTACTTAATTCCAGAAAAGCAGAGACCACATTCATCACTGCAGAAACTGCCCAAGGTAATAGTACTAACAAATTAGAAATTTTTAGTGGTGAACATTTCCCTTAGAGTAACTTTTCACCACAAGCTGGCATGGTAACACACAGCTTCTTTGTCCTGCGGAAAACAACACTGTGCACTGATTGTTACCATTTTGCTCTTTAAGGGATAAGAAGTACATCTCCTTTGTACAGGACTTATTACATTATGTTCACTTCAACAGCTGCTCAGAAAATATGAAAAGTTCTCTGTTCTTCAATTCATTTATTTGACAAAGAAAAATCATGTTAAGTGAACTTCCTGTCATTAGCAGGGTGGACAGATTACATCTTTCTACCTGTTCCAGCTTCAACATTAATGTCAAAAAAGTTTACTAAGCCCCAATAAATTTTGGTTTTAAAGCTCCTAAAGCAGCCTTTGGAGGAAGCATGTTTGGTAACCAATGCTGTCACGGATGTGACCTCTGTTCTTCACACCTGTAGTAGGCAGCTCTGCCAGGTGTTGCCTAACATAAATAAAGTGCATGCATGCATGTAAATTACTTGTAACAAATATTTCTTTTATGTTTCAACTATGATTTATTGCAGTTCTTACTTTTGTAATGAAAGGGCAGAACAGATGGTAAATGCTTAATTTAGGATGACATATCTATCCAAATAACCTTTGCTATTGCATAATCATTTGCTATTACCAACAGAATTTCACCAGTATTTTCCAGCTTGCTTCTAAAAATCATCCATTCACCTTCATCTTCTATTTCTCTCCTTCATTATCAAGAAAGTAATATGCATTCATACTAGTTAAGGATGGAAAATGTATAGATTAGAGCATACCTCCTTTTCTAGTACAACAGAAAGGCAATGCTTGGGGTTGTTAATGGTCACATTAGGGGTAGAAAGGAGAATGAGGTCGGACATGATAGAAGAATATAAAATTATGAATTGCATGTGGAAAGGTAAATATTTTTGCCTTCTCATAAAAAGCTTGCACATCCTCTGAAGCTGAATGGTGGGAAATTCAGGACATAAAGTAAGGAAGCATTTCTTCCATATAAAAAAGGAAATATGGTTACTCTTTCAGCAACAGCAGTACTAATGGTTCATGACTATGAAGCATTAATCCTAAAGATAATCTAAAGTTAATTTGAAATCAATTACAATACATGTCATGTCTTGCTTTTTATGGAATGTGAAACTAAAAAAACTGAAATGAAATTCAAATTGAAATGCCATGTTACTCAGTTGTTTAGCAAATAACTAAAAACAGCTGACTATTAGGATGCTAACTCACTCCTGGGCTCCCACAAAAAACCTGTGGATTGCATGAATCAGGTCACTAGTTCCCAGTCTGACCTACCTCACAGGGTAGTTGGGAGGATGAATGGAGAAGAGAAAGAGGATCATCTTGGGTGAAATTAATAAAATGAACAAACAAGCTTCTCTACTAAAATTGTTGGCTAGTGTATCACTGGAGCCAACACAATCTTTTCCCTCTCCTTTCCTGTCTGCCACTGTACAGGTGGCTCAGGAGAATTTTGTTTCTAGAGTGACATGATTCTGGGCCAGGTAAAGGAGCCCATGCAAATGATCAGCCAGTGAGGCTCACTGCATGGCTGGCCCCTATCTAGTTGAAGTCAGCAGAGTTGCCATATTGGTATCCAATTTTTCTGCCTTACAAAAACGGGACAAAACAAGCAACATCAGAACTGCAGAGTATGTACAGGGGGAGGGTTAAATCTTTCCTGCCCCAGTTCCAATGAAAATAATTTCATTATTGCAATTCTACAACATTCAACAGCATTCAGAATGCTCAGAATGAACAGAATACTCTTGTAAACCCAAGGTTCTGACTTCCTTTGTGAAAATGATCCATTCCATATTTGGTCTTCCTAATCTTCTGCCTTCATCTTTCCCTAGCATGGTTATCTTTTCCAGTAAGTCTTGCCTACTTATAACGTACCTGACACCAAGAAGTACCTGGAACTTGTCTAACTCCTTTGTCTATAGGAAACCATTCTATCTCTTCACATTCTGCCCTAAGAGTAGCTTCTTGTCAATAATACAGGCTTTGCATCAGGACACTCAAGTGCTGAAGCACACCCATGTCTTCAGGACCATCCATAGCCTCCCATGAGCCTCACAGTCAAAGACTTTGCTGTAGTCTATAAAGCATGGATTCATCTTCTTCTGAAATTCTTTTCTGTGCTCCAGTATCCAACATTGTTTGTGATATGATCTTAGGTGCCTCTTCCTTTTCAGAATCAAGCCTGAACGTCAGACATTTCTTGCTCCCATACAAGGTAAAATTCTTCAGTGCAACACCCTGAGCATCACTTTGCTTGCAGGTGAAATTTGCGCAATAATCCCCTAGTTGCTGCACTCCTCAGCACATCCTTTCTTGGGGAATGGAATGTATATTGAACATATCCAGTCTGTGGGTCATTGTTTGATGTTTCATATTTGTCAGGATTCAGTCTTTGCAACTTGGAAAAGTTTTGTTGGTACTCTACCTACCCCCAGGTGCTTCACTCCTCCCAAGTGCTTTCAAAGCAGCTTTCACTTCACTACTAATCCTGTAGGTTGTTCTTCACAGGATTCCTTTTCAAAGGAATTTATTTTTTCATTTTCATCTTCTGTAGAATTCCTACATATATTCTTTCTACTTTATCTTGGTTGAACATTATATTCCCTTGGTGGTGTTTCAAGCATTCCTAATCTTTTTGATTTCTTCGATCTTCTGGAAGAGGTCTCTTGTTTTTCCTTTTTCCTTTCTTTCTTTTTTCATGTCTATTTCTTTGCATGGGTCATTGCAATAGTTCTTTTTGTTTCTACATGATGGTTGCTGAAAAGTTGTATTAAGGATTCTGACTGTATTTTTGCATCTCACCAGTCACTACCAATTTTAAGTGTTTCTTTTGTCATCTATCTGAGTGGTTTACAAAGATTAAAAAACCATAAAATACAGTATAAAAACCATATACAAACAAACATGCAAACTACAAACTGAGAAAACAAACAGATAGAAAGAGGAAGACAGAGATCTAAAAGCAACATTAAATGATCAATATGAAAAAAAAATCAGACATGATTAAAAACCAGATCACATGCTGTCAAATGCCTAAAATAAGAAGTACCTGATACTGAAAAAGTAACAGTGTTGGCTCCTGAATCAAACTACTGAAGCTGCCCTCACTAGAAGCGTCTCTCTGGACCAATGATCCGCATGTACAGTACAAAAGGAGAGTCAAATGGGCAGAAGAGGAGTGTGGGGAGTCAGATTTTTAAATGTACATGGATTCTTAGGTGAATATACCATTTAAAGCTTCAAGACCTTCTGAACTGGAGTCTGTATCATACACATGCACGTGCATGCGTGTGCACACACATATGATTGAGAGAGAAGAAGCCAGGTGTTAATTAGCTACTCAAAACTCAACCAGACTTTAAATGAAGCAATTTACCACGGTATTTCTCAGAAACCTAATACTCTTAACTACTGAATGTTGCCAATTACCTTCTTCTCATAATGTGCTGGTCTGAACAAATTTGAACTTGGAAAATATTTTTTCATAATAATCCTTGCAGTTTAGATTAAAGTTATAGACATGCAGCATCTCATCAAAGCTACTTAATGTAGCATAGCATCTACTTCACCATTCAAAACAGCTGGGGACAAGACCCAGTGAGAGTCTGGTAAGAACTAGCCTGGGGAAAATGTTCTTTTGTTTTAATCAGCAGGAATTCGTAATATAAAATCGTAGTAGAAGAAACTAGGAAAACTAAAAGTTGCATGGAATTCAGTTGTAAAACCTTGAGCAATAGATGCATGTATGCAATAGGAAATGCCCTACAACACAATGTGTTTGAAGTTGATAAACAACTGAAAAGCAGGCCAGCAAAAGCCAACCGGGTAATATCAATTTTAACGTATACAAACGTTTACCTCATGAGCACCATGTTCCCATGGAGAGGGTGGGGTGGAAAGAATGTGTGATGGTTGCTCCACCATACCACACCTTTGGCAGTTGGCTGTGCCCAGGGCAGAAGTTGGAGGCAGCAGCTTTCCTATATTTTTAAACAATGCCAGCTCCAAGCTTGATTTGTGCAGACATGTTGGAGTAATGGAGACTTAGGATCCTGTGGATCTATGGCCTCCCTGACATATAAGAATACCCCACTTCTGTCCTCACAGCCAGACACAGAGTCAGACCAGGAAAACCTTCCACCACTGCACTAGGGTGGCAGCTTCTGGAAGAAGATCTCCCTCTCTATAGGCAGAGGGGGAATTCAACAGCATCCTATAAGCTTTCCACTGCTCTCCCAGGGAGCACAGGATTCTTCATTAATAAGCCATACTTTGCACAGTATTATAAATTGTATTCATATAAACACACTCTGAAATGAATTACTTTTACATATGCTGAAGGAGTAAGGCAAAGATGCGTAATAATATTTGTATATCTCTATGCTTGATATCCATAATTATATTTCTATGAAAATTAACATTTACATAAGTCTTGTGATACTTTAATGTTAAGAAAGAAAAGAATGACCCAGACAGTAGTAAGATGGACTCTGAATAGAAAGATATGGAGAAATGACATTGATACTGCACTAAGAAATCCTTAAATTGTTCATTTCTCACATCCCTTTAATGAAGTCACACCAAACTGAATTGAGAACATTTATGTAATGTGATCTTCAGCTTAATTATACCACCCACACTTATTTTCAGAGCAGTTGAGGCTGCCAGGCAGAAAGCCTGGGTAATACGTCTCCATACATCAACTTTGATAACTGATAATAAAAACAAAAACATACCTGAACCATATTCATAAGACGGTGACAGTCTCACAACTGCTCCATCTCCTGGACAATTTACCATCTGTAATAATGGTCTTAAGCTACCACATTCTGCTACCAAACAATTTTTATTCTAGCGATTGCTTGGGATTCCCAATACAAATGCTATGATCACTTGTTACAAAACAATGCACAATGCACAATTAATTTTTGAGAACAATTAATATTTATCATTGCAATCATTTTAACATATTCAATAAAACAATTCTTTTAATTTAAGAAGTTAAGTTTATTCTTCCAGTTTTTCTAATTTTTTATTCATTCAATTGTTCATGCTGCCTAATACGATGGCAATGATGAAAACTGACCTGACTTTGAATGCAAGGTTTTTCTTGGTTCTTCAGGACCTTCTATTGGCTGATCCGCAAGGAACACTCGTGCTTGGTCTACAGCATTTAGAATAGCCTGCTCTTTATCCTTCAGTTCACGTCTTAGTGCCTTTCCAAAAGAAAAGCAGGAGGGTCACTTGCAAACTAAGATTATTGATAAAATACATCACAGATTCTGTTTCATTCCCTTGATCAGATTGTGTTTCCTTATGATACAAAATAAGAATTATACCAAATACAGACAAAGGAGATAATGAATGGGTTAAGTCACTATGCAAAACTAGTTTGCTGCTGGAAATATAAGAAATATAAATACACATAATGATTTAAAATATTCATAGCTGTCTTGATGTCAGTATAAGAATGCTGCAAGAAAGGTAATATAACACATGTAGGTAAGAAATATAATTTTGGAAACAAAAACTTTAGCAATTATATATGGATTATTTTTCATTTTTACTGGGGATTTCATCTATATTCACCTACAGTAAAAATGAATGTGTACATTCTCCCTGGAATACATTTATAAAATATTATGTGAAAGCCAACAACTCCTCAAAATGAGTTCCAACAAAACCTATTCTAGGACTGGAGTTATATTTTATTTAGGACAGATACTGTCAGTATAACATGTTTGCCTCTTCATGTCAAAATTTTATTTTTCAAAATGTGTAGCATCTTCTAACAATACAAGCACCAAGCCAAAAATATAACCCTAGCTTCAAATATGCTAACTCATTTGTAACTTTATCAAACATGTTCCCATGCGTATGTTGAACAGGCAACTCTGACATTTTTTAAAAAATCTGATAGATGACAGCAAAGCCATTTTCAATTAGAAAAGATGGGTCTCCTTAAAAGCAGAATGTTATCTGAAACAAGCTCCAGCTCAGTGATATAAGCATACATTTTATTTGAGCCTAAATCTCTTTGTTCTTTGACATATTTATGTCCCAATACAGTCCACTAGGATTGAATTGCCCTGTCATTATACTGAGCCAGGTGTTGGACAAATTTGTTTACTTTATGGTTCTGGGGAGAAATGGAAAAGTTTGTGGGGGATGGGGCATGGAGCAGTGACTATGTGTCTATAGTTTTTATATGGGTTTACAAGAAACTAAGAAGCTCAGTTGTAATGAAAATCCTGTTCTGAAAGAAATTTTACCAGGCAATACCAATTCACTGTATCCATTTGTGTGTGTGTGTGTGTTCCTCTATTATGAAGCAGATTGTAGAATAATTCTGGTTGGAAATAACCCAAATTTGGCAGGTTTAGGCCTACAAATAGAAAGTATTCACAAGGGTTCATAGCTTGGGGGTGTTCCTGGATCTGAAATTATCACTTGATTCTCAGTGGCCAGGAGCACCTTCTTTCAGCTGTAATTAAAATATCAACTACAACCATACCTGGACAGGCAGAGCCTAGCCACAGTCACCCACGCTCTGGTAACCTCTTGACTGGACTATTGTAATGTGCTCTATGTGGGGCTGCCCTGAAAGACAGTCCAGAAACTTCAACTAGTACAGAACAGGGCAGCATGGCTGCTGGTGCAAGCGCAGGGGTCTCAAACTCACGGGATGGGTGGGGCATGGGGGAGGGGCCTTCAAAGAGCTGGCGGCGCCCGGGCCGGCCTCCGGGAGCGACGCGGGATGAGCGGCCCACCAGCACCGCGGTGGTGGAATACTTGATGCGGCCCAGCCTCACCCAGACTCTACTTCCAGCGGCCCCCAGGTAAGTTGAGTTTGAGACCCCTGTGCAAGCGGGACCGCGTGCCCATATGACACCAATACTTTATCCTCTTCATTGGTTACCAGTTGAGATCTGGACCCAATTCAAAGTGCTTGTTTTAACATATAAAGCCCTAAATGGCTTGGGACTAGGGTACCTGAAGGACCAGCAGCTCCCATATGTGCCTACCTAGTCCCTAAGATCTGTTTCCCAAGGAGGATGGCTAATAGAAGAGGGACCTTCTCTGTAGTTGCGCTTCACCTAAGGAACAGCCTCCCAAAAGCAGGTCATCTAGCATCCTTGCTATAATCTTTTCAGTGCCAGGTGAAAACAGTTTTATTCACGTAGCATTTTAATAATTGATTTTAGTCTGATAATTTTAACTTGTTTGTTGTTTAATCTGTACAGTTTTAAATTATGGCCCTCTGTTGTGTATTGTCTTGTTTTATTGTCGTTTCTTCATTGCACTTTAATTGTTGCTTTTATTGTTGTTATATGTTTTAACGATTGTGATCTGCTTAGAGGGCCCTCAGGCTGATTACAGAAAACAAGTCTATAATAAATAAATAAATAAATAAATAAATAAATAAATAAATAAATAAATGTTTAAGTGAGACTTGATTCATTATCTACAAGTTTTTGCTTTAACTGAATAAAAAAATAGCAGCTGTGGCACTAAATGTTGATGCAAGAATATCCCTAGATATAAATTTCTCTCACTCAGGATCAGTTAATTATGAGTGAATAATTAACTTGATTCCTCTACATTGGTCTACTAGCCACATGCAGAAACCAGGGGTACAATCTATGTGTAAAGGGCAAAGTGGGGTCACACTCTTGAATCATCTGGGCAGAGCCTATTCATGTAGCATTCACATATTCATTGCAAACATGTGTTGAAATCCAAGGAATATAAATTCCAAATGTATTATAAGTATAAGGCAGGCTGAACAATATTGAAACTCTGGAAACCTGTTAAGGAACAACTCTGAGACAGCACTGGTGTTGAGGACACCGATGATATTTTCTTGCATTGTCTACAGTGACCCAGCACTGACAAATACAGTGGGGAAAGTACTCTATATGTGCTTTTGGAGCTCATGTTGGAAGCCAGACATGTTCACTGGCATCTGATAATGGGTGTAATGTTTGAAATAATGTTGATACAACAAAATCATTAATAGTTAACATTGTTCATCTTGTGACACCAGAAAGATTCATAGGGCTGATCCACACTTCCACACAAAAGACAGATTCCCACTGGAAGAAGGCAGTGGAGATGACTGGACTGGTATCATCTTCCCCATGCCTCCCAGCGCCAGTGCTCTGGAGGGTGGCTGCAGTGGGAAGGGAATGTGTAAGACTGCCATTGCCAGAAGCCTCCTATGAGTGGGATTCTGCTAACATAAAGTACAGATCCAGTCCATGGTCATAATTCATTTCCCTGCATTTTTATACATTAAGGAAAGCAGGAGAATACAACATCAGAACCATTTGAAATTAGATACAATGTAACACTTCCTTTAACTGAACCAGCAATTCCTTTGGAATACCGAAAGTCTCCATTTATGACCCACAAAAGAAATCAAGTTATGTCAAATGGTGCTGGGGAACCTTAATGAAGATAATTATGCTTCAGGCTTGTGTAATATTTCTTCAATTAAGCAGTACTTTCTCTCATTCCTGGATGTAGTTGAATCCTGTCACATTTGTGTAACGTACAACTTGTTAAAGTCCTGATTTAATCACATTATTTTTCTCCAAGGGGTTGATCTTAATCTTAACCTCTTTAATCACATTTAACACTGCACTCGTTTTTCTGGATAGATCTTTACAATACAATGTCCTCCAACAATGAACTGTGTTCTTTCAAATACTGTTAAAAATATGATTTGATACATCCGTGACAATAAATACAGCAAGTTTCACTGCCTATTCTTCTTTGGTGAAAGAAAATATGCAAAGCATGGTTGCCTTAAAAATGTACGAACTCCTCCTCTTGAGGGCCATATGAGCTGGCACTTACCTGATCTCTGCATGTTAAGCCAAAGAAGAAAACAAGCATATACATATTGGGAATAGGATACCTAATGAAATTATTCTAAAGTACCAGATATATTGCTATGTTCTCTTGTTATCAAAGTAACCTGACACACTGACTATTTTATGGAAGTTCCCAAACAACATGTTAGTTAATACAAGCAGTGAAAAACTGCTAGCCTTTGGTTGCTATCAGCCATTTTTCATTTGAATGTTCTCCTACAAGGCATGCAAATAGATCAATGTATACAAATTAGCTTAGTGAGGATTTGAAGAAAAGCCTCCATGGGCACTAGTATTCAGTAATTGGCATTAAAAGTTGCTATGGGAAAGCATTTAATAACAGCAATAGATACCAAAGTGAATTGCATTGATGCAAATGGAGTGACTTCATAGAAAATGCAATTCTTTTAAAAAACAGGCTTGCCTATACAGGTGAGTGTTTTTAGAGGAACTACAGAAATAAGCCTAATCACTGAGGAAAACCAAAATATGATGCGAAAACCTGTTACTCAGGAGCCTCACACACATGAATTTCTTTGTGCAACAGAAAAAAGATCCTGGCACCAACTATTTCCAAGTTGTATCTCTCAGGCCCACTGAAGATGTAACACTACGCAGTCTTCTAGTTTATTACCCATGATAGGAGTGCCCTGTACTCATTCAATGCCTCTTTCTCTTTGGAAACAATGTATGTGAATTGCTGTTGCCCCTTACCATTTGTTACCTCAAACCTCAATTAGCAAACCAAACTTAGATGTCAAACTGTGGTTTGAAGTTAACCAGAGTAATAACGTGACTCTTCTCACTGTGATTACTCACTGTAGTCTTATTACACAATGGTTCAACAAGATGGAAGCTAGGCCAGCACATGAACAGGTGAACGATAGAGAAAGAAGGTGTTTTCCATGGCTTTGTCAGTTATAGAGAATTGTCTACTAAACTGCAGAATGTTTAGTTAGAAAGCTGTGTTATTTAGTTTTGTGCATTCTGAATTCAAACAAGAGAGAATTCCTATTTTCTCACTCTACTTCTAAAAGTGGAATAAGCTTTTCAATGTTAGATAGTATAAACAGCTTCCAATTTATGCATGGCTGTTTTCAAATAAGCTTGCCTATACCAAACAAACATAGAAATGTACTAATTATTTTAAATGCCTCAACCTTCAGATAAATCCAACAAACTTTGTGAAGAGTGCTTAGTTTCTCTGGGAATCAAAAAGAGGAAGACAAAAGAAAACACAGAAAAAATTATTTCTATTGATTCTATAAACCTACATTTTGGCAATCTCATTTTTACTTATTATTAATCCAGTTTTCCTAAAGGGCTATGTTCATTTT